ATACATGCTTACACACACACACACATATCAGAAGATGGGGGTGGGGGGCGTCTGGGACAGCCCACATGATTGGCTTCTGTGCCTCCAAGCGAGGTAGTAACAGGGTGACACGGCTCAGTAATGTGATGAACTGATGGCATTAGTTGACCGTCCGCTCATGGAATTAATCAACAAATAGATTCATTATCAGGGGAATATTGATGACACACAGCAACTTTGTAGTTAGTGTATAAAAATAGTTAACCACAAAGAGGATGGCCAAGGTGACTTAAGAGATTACAGTACATGAGACGAGGGAGACGTCCGGCACACATTGAATGCATCACTCAGCTTCAGCCCAGCAGAGTTCTGTTCCGTGCTTCTTTTGGTTCCACTCAGCTGCCTTCATTTCTGAAAGCTCAGATCTGTGGACGGCTTCATTTGTGAGTCATGAACGACTTCAGGAAGCTTTGAGGTGGACAGGTCTGTACGGCCATTTTGCAGAACTGTTTTTTGAAAGAGCCTGGGGCCAAGACGGGGTAGAGGTAGGGCAGCCGACTTGGAACCCACAAGTCACGGGTTCAACTTCCAGCCATTCTCACAGATCGTGGTGTCTCTGAGCAAGACACCCAATCCCTAACTGCTCCCCTGGTTCCCACATAGCTGCCCACTGCTCCACCTGGGTGTACCACAGGTGTGATGGGTTAAATGCAGGAAACTAATTCATCATTGTTTGGGAACATACAGTGATGACAATCTCAGACTTCCCTTATTGTGGCCACCCTCACCAAAAACATTAAGGTTTACTTACATTCCCTGTTCAAGTCCAGTCCAGAAAAACACTCACTTAGCACTTTGAGATTTTTGTTAATGAAAAGTGCGTTACAAATTAAATTCATTATTATTATTAACACTCATCTCAAAAACTACAAACACTCACTGTTCCAGTCGGTCAGCGGCAGGGTCCATGGGTTTGTTACTGTTTGAGTTACTGTATGTGAAGTGAGAGGGAGCAGCTGACTGGTTTCTGTCTCTGAGTTCAACAAAACGATCATGAACTAAAAAAAAAAAGACTCAGACGGAAACGTTTTGTAATCAGAGCTAAAGGTGCAGCGCTGGAAGATGTTGAAAACTAACACCCCCCCCCCCCCCCCCCCTCACTGTGTACAGATGGAGTCTGGGGGTACTGTCCTGAGCACCAACTGGGGCGATGTGGGCCGGAGGAAGGTGGACGTGACCCCGCCGGACGATGTGGAGTTCAAGAAGTACTGAGCACCTCTTCTTCCTCTCGTGTCATTTGAGCTGCTGCTGGACCTTCTGTTGCTCTTTGCTCCTACTGTCTCCCC